CAGACGATAGTAAACTCAATTTACCCGCCTAAACTCTCCGTAGCGTGGCGCTGGACGGCGGAAAGTAGTTTGGCTGCCCGATGACGTTTTACCGAATTATAGGAGTTTTTTTACCATGTTTGTACGGACACCGTCGCAATTTTTTCGCCGTCATATAGGAATCCGAACTATAGGAACCCGTGTTATAGGGGGGTCGACTGTATATCAAATTATTCAAACTTCAAGACACCATTAAAAATAAAAATTGCATTATAGTGAACATTTTTTTTAGTTAACTGTATAAGTTGGAGACCCCACAGAAAGCCCGTCGCGACCCCCTTCTGGGTCGCGACCCATAGGTTGGGAACCCGTGATCTATACAATAAAAAATAAAATTTTCTTAAAACTATTTAACCTCAAGTTTGAAATCAGTGAAATCATTTGGTTTGAAATTTGATTAGTTAGTAGTCTCTTAACTGGATAAATATAATATAGAATTTGTCACTAACAGATTCAACAATGCAGTCTTAAACCTGAAAATGATTTTTTAAGATGGTCAAAAAAGTTTGTTCTCCAAAAGGTTCTGCTGTAAGATTTTTCTGATTAGGTTATTTGGTTAATAACTGAAACAAATTAATCCAGGCAAATCACTTTTTTTCTTTTATAATTAATATTATTATATATACAGTAAACAGTTAAGAATTTAGGAACAAATTTTAGTGACATCCTTTTAAAATGTTTTCTTAAATTTTTTATTATTATTATTAATTTTGATTTATTTGTTTATTATATTTTTATTGATTCAACAGTAAAAAATGATATTATCCTTTATAAATTAAAAAAGAATTATACTTTTAAATTTATATATAAGACAATATCTTGAAAAAGCAAATATACTGCTATGAATTTAAAAGAAAATAAAAAAAATTTTATCAGTATTTTGATGTTTACTTGAAGATTTATATTTATTTAATTCATATAACTTTTAATCAATATAAAATTTATTTACTTCTATGTTATATTCTCTTCTATTGTCATAGTCTAACTTTGAATCTTTTGCTACTGTGACAATACCAGTTGAAGCATTTACAGCAAAATCTTCATAGGCACCTTTTTGAATTCGATAAGAAATTTGTGCATTAATTCCAGTATCATCATCCCTTGCTGAAACTTGTTCCACAATTGTACCTAAAAATTATTTTTAATAATAAAAGTTAATTAGTTTAAGTTATATTATAAAGCAATAGTTTGAAAATATTAACATTAATTTGTAAAATTTAAAAATGTTTAAAATCTCATTTTATTACAATTTTAATAATTATTGTCATATTAACTAAGAATGATCAATGAAATTAATATATTTAATTATTTTAAATACAAACTTATTGTAAATAAACAAAGCAATTATTTATTGTGACATCATCATAATGCCAGGCTGCAATTTTTTATTATATTTTTAATTTATTTAATTTAAAATATATGCTCTCCATCTCAAATTAGTAGTGTCTTGTCTCTGTACATCATACTTTTCCTTTAACAATAGAGTCATGCTAGACATCTATGTAACACCTTTGGGGGAAAATTTTTTGAATTGAAATAACATGACTTCCAGTTTGCATCGGAAGTTCAAATGTAGTTAACAAGGGTCTCCTGCACTTAAGCTTTCCATATCTGGTCTTGTCTTTCATCTATATAACTGTTCTCAAGATTAAGGAAAGACAAACAGCAAACGTATGACAGTGGGAATTTATAGGTCTACAATTTTTCAAATTGCAGCCCAATTAATGTTGTTATAATTCGAAACCAAACTCGAAATAAACAAAAAAGTTTAATTAATTATTATATTTCAAATCAGGGGTGTAGCCACGATGGGGCAGAGTGGGGTGCTTGTCCCCTGGCTCATTTAGTCAAACAAAAAATTATAGGTCAATAGGTTATAATAGTATTGCACGACAAGAAAGCATGTTTGAATCATGGCAGGAAGACACTACCATATTGGTCAGTGATGAGAGTGTTCTCTGGTGAACGAGTGGGGAACTGGCGGTTCAAGGTCTGGATAGTCTGTGGTAAGACTTGAAGATTATGTAATGTTTGAGGTTCGAATTTAGTGGGAAAATTCTAGTACCTTCTGTTCCCTATTTAAGTGCTGCAATCAGTGCGAGTGAGTTGATGCATTTGAGCTTTGTTCAGAACATACCACGAGCAAAGTTTATTTGAAACCTTGTTGTGTCCATGTGCAATAATGGATTTTTTATGTCGTTTTAAATTAATAAGTGTTGTATTTACTTCTATTGTATGTTGTAAGTGTTTTAATAAATTTGTTAACTTTATTGTGCATTTATTTAATTTTTGGACCACAATCCCATAATAGCAATGGATATTAGAAATCTAAAATGGATATTAGAAACTTTTTTAGCATGAAAGGTATGTATCTATATTATTTTCATTTGAGTTGATGAGTTGCAAAACAATCTAATTAAAGCAACTAAAATCTTCAGGAAATGCAAAGACTGTTTTTTTGTTTGTAATAGTGATTTTGATGTTGTCTTTATTATTGAAATTTTAAGAAAACTCATACAATACTAAATAAGTAAATAATAACAAGCATACCACACTCCAATTATTTTAAATAACAGTTGAAAATTGTAATTAGCTACTTTTGCAGCAGTTTTACTTAATTAGATGGTTTTGAAATGGTTGATTTTGCAACTAGCTACTTCTGCTAGTTGCAAATAATAAAACAAATTTGTACAAAATATTAAAGGTTTATGTTTTTAAAGTTGAAGTTTCTGGTGTAGAGAGTCCATTCAAAAGCTTAAATTCTCAGTTCTTTTAATTTTTTTGGGAAGTATAGTAGTAGTTATTTATTTTCTTTTAGGGAGACAGAAGAGGAAGCAACCAATTAATAGTAGTAGCAAAAAATGATAGCGGCAGAGAAGAGAAATCAAAGCAGAATGTCGGCACTTGCACAACTGCATCTACACCTGCATATTGCTTTTTAAGTGCATCAAGGGGATCTTCGCTACCATCTGGTTCTGGTGCACAAGATCAAACATATTTTGATAATGATGTGGGTCACTGGCTTGGATGTTCATTTAGTATGACCTCATCAAAAAAAATGGAAGTTTTAAAAAGCTGTTGGTCACCAACTCCAAGTTATGACTTTGCTGAGGATGCTGTGCAATTAAAAAGAAAATTCAAATACAGCTGGTTGGTGGATTATGCTCCTTGGCTGGCTTATTCCAAAAAATTAAAGGGCATGTTGTACATTTACTGTGTTGTTTCCACCAACTAATGTGCATGGTGTTTTGGGTTCTTTCATAGTGAGGCCCTTTACTCACTATAAAGACATGCATGAATTTGCAAAATCTCGCATGTCATCTCAGTGGCACAAATCAGCAGCCACAGCAGCAAAATGTTTTGTTGAAAATATACCTATTGATGTACAGCTGATTTCTGTCCACCAACAAGAAATAGAAGCCAACAAGAAAATTGTTGCATCAATAATTTTGACTGTGATGTTTTGTGGTACACATGACCTACCTTTGAGGGGCAAAGAACATCATGAAGGTGCTTTTGAAGACTTGATCAAACTCAAAATTAATGCTGGTGACCACATTTTAAAAGAGCACATAGAAAAGGGTACAAAAATGCCACTTACATGTCACCACAGATTCAAAATGAAATAATCAGCCTATGTGGCAACATCATTACAGACGACATCACTACTGATGTAAAGAAAGCATGTGCTTACAGTATCCTGGCAGATGAGAGCTGTGACATATCAGGGAAAGAGCGACTTTCTATTGGGGTTAGATTTTTTGACAAAGAAAAGATGATGGTTTGTGAGGAATTTCTAGGTTTTGTAGAGTTGTAGAGATGGATGCAAAATTTGTAGCATCTGCAATTAACAACTTTGTAGAAAAGGTAAGCCTTGATCCAGAAAAGTGCCTCGGACAAGGATACGATTGGTGTTCCACTATGGCAAGAAATGATGGTGGTATCCAGAAAATTATTCAAGAAAAGTATACAAGAGCATTATACTTTCACTATGCTAGTCACAAACTGAACTTAGTTGTAAACAACTTAAACAAAATAGCAGCGATATGAAATATGGTCTCTACAATAAAAGAAATAATAAGATTCTTCCGAGAATCGGCCCTTTGTCAAAAATGCATACTAATGCTCTGTGAATATACCAATGCTCTGTGAAACCCATTGGTCTCAAAAATATAAAAGTATCACCACATTCAAGGAACACCATGTGCAAATTGTTATGGTGCTTGACAAAATATCAACAGACAGTAACAATGCAATGAGAAAAGCTGCTTTTCAAATGCATTGTGCTGCTACAAAATCAGAATTCATTGTTAGTGTTTGTCTCATAGCAAAATATACAGTGCTTCTGCAACTGGTGGTAAATGCTCTTCAGCCAAAAAGTGTGGATTTACTTCAATGTGCAAGTCACATAAAAAAATTACAGACATCAAGAGAAAACACCGTGGAAATGCAGTTGGTGAAAGTCAGTGTGATACAGATGCTGAAACAATTGCTGAGCAGCTTCGAACAGATTTCAATATGCCGCAAGTCATAAATCATCAGAAACATCATGCAAATCCACCAGCACAGACTCCTAGCAAGTTTTGGAAAAGATTATTAATGAATCTATGTACAGAATAATTAGTAATGTCTCTGGAACAGCATTTTTCTGAGGAGAACTTGCCCGCATTCTCATTGCTTATGTTGCACCCTCATGTAATGCTTGATATGACATATGAGGATTTAAAAAAAAAAACTACAATTTGAATGATTTCCTCGGTGAAGCTGAACTTTGATACAACCAATGGAAAGAAAAAAATGCACCAAATGCTGAACTGAAGGAGACAGAACTAGCTGCACTAGTTAAAGAAATGCAATTGTTCTACCCATCCATAAAATGGGCACTACTTATCTCACTTGCACAGCCCTGCACAATGTGCACTATCAAATGATCCTTCAGCACCTTACGCAGGGTAAAAACTTGGATACGGTCAACAATGACAGAAAATCGGCTTGTCAGTCTTTGTATGATGAGTGTGCATAAAAAGAGGGTTCTGGAAGCTAAAAATAAATTTGAGAAAGAAATTTTGACAAGATTTAGCCAGAACTCCTGTAGGCTAGGGCTGAAATAAGATTTAGATAGGTTCGAATAGCATTGCAACTAATTACTTTTAGTGTTTTCAAATATTCAAATAAAACCATTAATATATAATATCAACTGCACATCGGGTTGTATACAATACATTAAATCTGACTTACAGAACAACCGATGCAAGGTTACAGGTTCTGTAAGTCAGATTTAATGTATTGAAAACCATTAATAAACAACATTATCTTATTTTTGCCCTCCTGGAGAAAATCCTGACTATGCCCTTGTTTCAAATATTAAAATTTTTACATTGCACAGAAATGAAGTATAGTACATTAAGTTTAATGATTCAATCTATTTTAAAGATGATTTTCTATGTTTATTATAGTTTTCTTTTGAAAAAATGTTACAGAATTGAAACATACATAATTAAGGAAACATAATTATAAGTTCATCATAGCATATACAGGTTAATATCACATTAAAAATTTACTTTTATTTTGCCAATCTGCAAATATTTTAATTGCTATAGTTATCCCAATAAAAATTAGATGTGAAGTTATATTGGCTTTCATTGCATTTCCCTCAGGACTCAACTGCAGACGACCTAGAAATCCATAAACTGACGCGGCTACAGAGCCAACAAGACCCAAGAACAGAAAACGACAGAATGTTCACTTTCAGTGAAGTAAGGAAAGCAATAAAAACACTAGCGAACGGAAAGGCCCCAGGAAGAGATGGAGTAACGGCAGAAATGGTTAAGGCCCGATTTGAGAAGATACCGATGGCGTTTGTCCACCTATTCAATGAGTGCCTGCGAATGGGGATATTCCCGACAAACTGGAAAACGGGAAATATTAGATTCATTCCAAAACGAAACAACCCACAGTCCCCTGATGATTACAGACCGATCAGCCTTCTACCTGTGCTAGGGAAAGTTCTTGACGGCCTAATGATAGATAGAATAAACCACCATCTGTTTAAAACCGATTGCATGAATAGCAGCCAGTACGGGTTTAGAAAGGGGTGGTCAGCAGTTGAGGCAATTCTAAACGCCAAA